AGTCCAGATAGACAACATCCACAGCCTTTTCCTCACCCACTAAGGAGATCACCTTGTCATAGAAGAAGACCAGGTTAGTCAAGTGGGACCTGCATTTTGTAAACCTGTGCTGACTGGACCTGATCACCTGGTTGTCTTGTATGTGGTGTGTGATGGCACTCAAGATGAGTTGTTTAATAAAATGTTGATCAACAAAATGTTGTTCTCAGCAGACGGATGAAGAAAAATAACCCCCTAATTAGAAAAATGCCAAAAATGACTTCTTAAAGAAAAATATATAGCTGGAAAATGATCATGGTTAGTGTCATTACTTTGTTCAGTCCAATGGTTCCTAAGTGTATGTACACGAGGCAAATTTTTTATGCATATATGCAGGTTTTTCTGCTATAGTGATAATTTTGAAACTCACGGATACCACTCAAATACTCACATTTTAACAGCCATAACTGTGCTCATTGGTGCTTCTTCAGAAATATTTATTGTTTTCATGAAATACAGACTTTTCAGGCAAATTTAAAAATTTTGCTCTACAAACTTATAGCCATTCTGTGGTAGTACTCTGCAGATTATTTTGCTATACAGCAATTCCAAGTAAATTGCAAATACTGAACTTTTAATTTTGGAAATGACCTTCAGGTAGGCTAAAGAATAACATGCCAAATTCTGTAGTTTGCTCTGCTGATGTTTCCAACATTATCTTAGATTTCCATAGGGAAATCTTTTTGTTCTACAGAACAAACTTGCTTTTCTTTGAAAACACAGAAAGTTATTTGGGTGGAAGAAATACTCTGAGTTTTCTGAGTTTATGAAGTATGAATGGGTAACCTTAGAACATTAAACTATAAGAGAATCAATTATTTCAAGAATAATTACAGATTTCATATAAAGTTCTAGGTTTTGAGGTCAGTAACCTTGATACAATATTTACCTGAACCAAAGACAGTTGCAGTCTGCAATGATTGCAATTATTCTCAGGTTAGTGATCTGCTTTTTGGAACTCATTCTGTTTTTAAAATTTTGTTAGTCCAGGTGCCTCATTGTAGTTTCTTCCTGCCAGCAGATAGAGATAATAGTGACACATTTTGTTGGCATTCCCAATGTAGATGAGTCTCCTTGGTTCCCAGAGCACCATACCATTGACAGATGAGGGAAAGCCTTGAGCCATGAAGAAAATGGAGTGTTCGTAGAGGCTTTGGCTGTAAAAGCAAAATTCAGAATATTGACAATTACCTGGCTGGATCAAACCGATTTGTCAAAACCATGGTTATCTTTCTGTAGTGAGTGGATGAGATGCTTTTAGAAAAAGGTGCAAGAATAATTCTGTAATAGGTAGTGAATATCTTTTCTTACTGCATTCTTTGTTAGTTCTTCTAGACTTTCTATTAGCCTTAATGTTTACGAGCCTTAATGCTGCCTTAGGAAGTTATTGTCATTTCTGCAGTGACAGTTATAATATGAGGGCGTGTAGTATTGTACTAACTTACTCTTACGCAGTCACAACATCTTTTTGGCACTTTCAGCCACAGATGCTTGTGGAGGGTGCATATCAAAATCATTTTTTTGATCTGTTGGCTATTTTAGAATCATGTAATACGGATTTATAACACAGGTTTTGTCTTGATATGCGTTAAGTCACATGTAGTAATCTTGAATTTTCTTCACCATCTTGTTAATTATGCATACAGATAATTTTTAACTGGCCTTGAAGTTTCTCATAACCACATCCTATTCTTATTAATATAAACTACATTGCCCTCTGTATTTCTGCCCACCCCACCCCACCGCACCCCCCTTCAAGTCAAGAATTGTATACTGGCTACAAAAGGAGATTGTGAACCTGGATGAAAATCAGGATAAAAAATGGTCAGGATAAAAATCTTCCATTCACCTCTGCTCTTTGAATTCAACTTTTCAGATTTTGATTTGTGAAACTACTTTTTGTCACTCCATAATCTCTTCATATCCATGACTACAACCTTCAGCAACACCTTATGCCTTTTTATATGCTATTGTAATAACCCCTTTGAAGTCTTTCAAAATATTAGTAGAATATAGTTTGTATAATCTACTGGGTGCTTCACATGGCTAACCAGTTTTATTTTTAGGTGATTTTATTTTAAGATGACTTTATTCTAAGATCATAAATAGTCCTCTCGATGCCCTTTGGAATCCTTTTTGTATAGACCTGTTTATCGCCTTTTCTCCATCTTGACTGCTACTGTTTATAATACAGTGCTAGCAAATATGTACAGATAGTTCATGTTAATGTTCTTTCCAAACACTTAGATGTGAAGCTTGGTGGGCCACTGATGGTACTTACTGGTAGATTTCTTCCAGTTCTTCCATCATTTTCACTTACTCTAACTCATGTTTTCTATGATAAAAAAGATTTTAGGGTAGGAATCTTCATGCAGGTCTCTAAAGCAATGACTTAGTATGAAAAAAATGCTTGTTTCTATCATATCTCCATTGGTCTCTTATTTGCTTCATTCCTTCTTTTCCTTTTGGGTTAGCCAGTGGGTTTGATTTAATTTTTCAGTTTTATTTTCAGATTTAGTTTTCTTCTTGTGGTACAGCTGAGAAATCAGAACATGTAGACACATACAGACACATGCCCATAGTTTTTCCTCCTCTTTTTTTTTCCTGCGTGCTGTAGCATATCTTCACTGTCTTTATACGGTCAGGTTTCTCTCCAGTTTTTGCAGTTTGGTCATTGACTGGTAAGGGTTTTTTTGTTTAGTTTTTTTTTTCGATTCAGAGATTTTTGTTTAGCCTTGTACACTTCTATATGTCCTTGCTGTCATTGGCACTTTATGGATTTTTGACCTTTATTTTGGGTCTGTATCTTTCTGGCTAGCTATGTATTTTCATGGCATTCTCACTGTTTAAAGGTAATGACACATTCCTCTGGTACCTTCAGCTTTGATGTTGAATCTCATGGTAACATTGTCCTTCGTAGTGGTTTAACTGTTGCCAGCTCTTAAATTAACTTGTGTCTACAAATGAATACTCTCCTCTTGTGAGTTGTAGAACAAGCTTTCAAAGCATTGATTGCTTTTGAGAAACTATTTGTGTAAAGATTGTTTTGGTTTACCATTGAAGAAATATTTTTCCATCAAATATAAAAGTAATGTATTTTACTTCATGAGAGGGGAAAAGTCCAGATTCAGTATTTGACTCTCCTAATAAGAAATGTCATAGATAGCAACTACACTGTTTGCATGAGTAATGGATAACTGCTGCCCTAAAAGGAAACTCGGCTGAAGTGTCTTAAACTGACATATCCAAAGCAATTGTAAACTGTGAGGTAAGAGTCCAAATAGAAAAATACCATTGAGTAGAACTGAGTCTTACTTGCTCATCCCTCAGACTTCCATCTCTGCAGAGCTACAAGACTAGAAACAAAGCATGATTCATGATCTAGAGAATACCTATTATCTGCTCAGCACAATTGAAGAGTTACTTGTCTGCTTTTCTTGAATGACTTTGTACTACAGCAGAGACTTATTTCCAGGTTTTTAGGGGAAAAATTTTTCTTAACCTCACAGGATTGAGAATCTGTTTCTTATTTGCTTCTAGCTCAGCTTAAAGGAAGTAAATAAAGGCAATTAGTGGCACTCTTTATGTGAAAAATCGTGTTTGATATTACAGCAGAGATGATCTTCCTGAAGTAATTACCTACTTGGCGCTGAAAGTAATAATCAGTTTGTCTTTATTTGCATATAGTATTGCAGCCTTGTTACTTTGTCTAGATATCACCTGAAAGCTGGTTTACGTTATAGTGACTTTTACACAGGCTGATTAATCTCCAGAAAAATTCAGAAGATTTTTTGCCTTAAAAGTAGCTGATTACCATGCGTGATGGTCTTAGAATAAGAAAAAAGAAAAACCATATGTATAGCTAGAAATTCAGTCTCACTGGCTGAAGTATTTACATTCTTAGATGGCCACGGAAAGAATCCCACTAAAATATGTCACTGGAAGGTTGGGGGTTTTCCCCCCCCTGTGTAGTCAAGGAAAAGGGGCAAATCTTGAGGGCCTTCAAAAGGACAGTGTGTCACTTAATACTTTCAAACTCCATCTCTGAAGGCCTTCAGTATCTTGTTTCTTTTTATCTAGATAGTGAATTTAGGAAATTACATTATGATGACAGTTCTGTTTACGAAAGCTCACCTCAGTGTGAGCAAAATGCTATCAAAATCTGTCTAAAGAGAAATATGCTTTGGTTATATGTTAAAATGAGATCTGCAGAAATCTGTGCTGTGTGGGGCCGCTGAAGTTATAACTGTGTAATATTTCATGTAAACATAACATGGTGCCCTAACATCTTTAGTGAGTGGTGTGTATAATTACTTAATGTTCAAATTTGTCTCTTATTAGGCCTCAGCACATTGTTTTGAGGACACGTGCTTACAGCTTGGCAGTCTAGCGGAAGGAAGAAATGTTCTCTACCTGTTAATTTTCTTGAACTAATGTGCTCAGCTGTTTTGTCAAATAACTAGTTGTGTACAGGTCCTGGTCATGTATCATTTCAAGGATGTATAAGCTGTTCTTTGAGGGGGAAAAAGAACCTGGTTTGTGGCTTTTTCAGATTAATATACTGTCTACATCTGCTGGCAAGGTGAAGGTTTGCCTTCTAGGCTGTTCAGGTGATTATCTCAAAAATGGAAAATTAATGCAGAACATTTCACTTTAAAAATCAGACTTTTTATTTTAAAGGAGTAGGTAGTAGCTGCATGTCAGACGGTGAAGTCTACCTGCTGCTAAATAGTTGTTTGTCCCCCTTGTTTTCTTCATTGTAGTCTGAGATTAGCTTTACTAAATGAAGCAAAAGAGGTGCGAGCGGCAGGATTGCGAGCCCTCCGCTATCTCATTCGAGACTCCAGTATTCTCCAGAAGGTGCTTAAGTTGAAAGTGGATTACTTGATAGCCAGGTAATTTTTCTCTTACTTCTTGTTGTAAATTGTACAATTGTAAATCCCTTGTGTTTTCATGGTTGAAATAAGTGAGAAAAAGTGTTTTCATATCCTCTTACATTCTTGATATGTAGTTTTATGAAACTATTTTTCTTCAATATGACTTTAAAAGTAGAAGGATAATAGGTCACACCAGCTAATCCAAATAAAATGGTGTCCTAATATATGATATACAGTGAGTAATCTAAAAAATTACTGGTTTTCAATCATAAATGCCATTAATCATAAAATGATCTGTGGTGTTATTAGAAAGTTGAAACATCAGTAATTTTGGTGTGTTAAGTTGTTTTATGGGAGTTATTTTGATTCTTTGTATTATAGTACCTCGGAGCCTCTAGTACAAAGTCAGGGCTCAAAAAGTAGTTCATACCCAAGAATTTGTAATCTAAGTATAACCCATGACACAACAAAAGAATACCAAAAGGCAAACTAACAATAAGGTAATAAGATCAGCATGTTGAATAGATGTAAATATTAGCATTTCCAGTGCTTCCTTTGTTAAAATCTTGTTGGATTTCATATACTGATATAGATGTGTGTGTTTCTGTTTATAAATACACACAGAGTCAGTTTTAGTGTGCTGTTTAATTTTGTTGGAGCAAAAGGACTTTTCTGATCTGAGAACACACACGAAACAGGTTGATGTGAAACATTACAGAGACTTTGTTTAGTCTCATTTGAAATGACAGATGCAGCTAGCTCAGAAAATATTTGTTGAAGCTGTTATGCCTTGCCGTTGTGTATTTGAGAACATTCTAGTGATTTAATTATAATGAAGATAACTGAAAAATACATAAACCGAAGCTAATTGACCAATCATAATGAGTGTGCTTGCTGAAAGGCAGAATATTTAAAACAATCAGTCATAATATTTTTCTTTTATTTATTCAATTACATAAATATTAACATGAGTTGTTAGCAGTTAAGGTGAAAGTTAGTGTTGTTATAAACAAAATGTGTTTTTTAACTTATTTTAGGTGCATTGACATACAGCAGAGTAATGAAGTAGAAAGAACACAAGCACTTCGATTAGTCAGAAAGGTAAAATCTAACTGTATATGGTCTTATCAGCTCTGCCAGTCAGTTGTGCTGAATCCTGGTTTTCTCCACCAGCAGTTGTGTTTTTTTCCCACACAGTCTCTCATACCTTATTTTATCATGTGAGAACAAATTATAGCTGATAATTCAAAAGAAAGGAGAAAGGGTAGTGCTGAGACTTGTTTTGATTTTAATCTCTTGCCACTGAGAATCTCTAATGGGCTAGAAAAATCTAGCTAATTTTCCTTTGATAGAGATCATACTGGACAGGATCTGGGGAAAAACGTATCAAATTATGTATGAAAGGGTATAAGAACCATATTACTAAGTTTCATCTAATGATTTAACTTTATTGTATCGTGTTTTTAAGCATCTGTGAGTCAAGGATGGGAGATTTTCTGCTAGTTGAGAAATGAGGCAAATTGCCGTCACTGGAATAATCAATTGAAGGAATGGTTCTAGCCTTACTGCTTTATCCGTAAAGGCTGATGCTCTCCATAGTTCTTTTCTCAGATACACAATAAGATATAGTTAGTCTGTGATGGTTACTGTACTGTGTATCCATGGATATGAGAGGTTTGAAGCTGTCATAGCTGCGTTTTCAAGTTCATCCTAAAGAAATTGGCATATACAGCTCCTGAAAGTGTTTTTTTCAGGCAACATAGTATCCTGCCTTTGTACTGGACTTTACTATGCTTTATCAGGCTTATATTCTACTTCTACTGAGCATGTTAGGAAAAAGGCTCGAGTAAAGTTTGAAGTAATTGGAAGAATCGTTCCCCAGGAGCACTGTGTGTTTTTAATCTATTTTGAAAGTATATGTATAGGTTGAAAATATGGACATTTGATGTGCAACCTCTTTTCTTATAATAAGCTCACTTGGTTTTTGTCTTACAGAAGAGGCAGTATACTTGTTTAACAATTACACCAAAAAGACAGTTAAAGCTTAAACACCACCACCCCCACCAAACCCAAACAAACAAAACCCATAACCATAAAGGAATGGATCCTTGAGCAAGTAGCAATTTATAAAAGTTCTTTACTAATCTGCTTTAAAAAAAGAGCTACAGTGTAGAGCCAGAATAACTTAAATCAGGAGAAGGAATGGAAACACATTTATAATTGGTTTTATTAGGGTCAGAAATTTGTCCTTATTCCTGAGCTTTTTTGAGCATTTCCTGGTTGAGCAAAGACCTCTGTCTTGGTTGAAAGAAACAAGAGGAAGTAAGAGAAATAAATACATTAGTTTGATTTGAAAAGATGATCCTGAAAGATAAGCATTTAAAAAAAAAAATCATATAGCTGACTACCAGTGCTGGGTTTTTTTCCATCACTATACAAGGATGCTATGCATGGGGTGCCTGTACATGCATGGAATGTACATACTATACAGGGCTGCTGATGGTTCTTCAATGTTGAGAACTATGTTGATGAAAGGTGTTTCCTAACATCTTTTGCTGCCTCGAACATACTTTTTTCCCTAAAACACAATGTCAGACAAACAAAAAGGCACCCAACCTGGCTACCAGTAAAGTTAACACCTTTTTCATATCCTGTCTGGACTACTGCAGTTAAGCGTGCATTGGCATAGAGCTGTCCATACTTGAGAAGCTCTCTCATAAGGAATACTGTGACACACATCTTAATAGGTAGATTTTGTATTTTCACAGTGTCTTTTTGTTACCCCACTCTTGCCCTTTTCCCGTCTCTTTTCATCTCTATTAATATGACAGACTCAGTGCTTTGATACCGAAATTACGAAAAGGTTATATAAAGCTCTAAAAGAAGAAAATGAATGGAAAATAAAACAATCATTTGTGCAGGAGATAGTTTATTGTGAGCCGTGGAAGAGCTGAGCTGGATTCCACCAGCATCACAGTACTACTGTTTTCAGTTTCAAAGTCTGGATGCAATTCTGTAACATCATCTTTGATAGCAAAAATGCCTATGTAAGAATAGCATATATAAAAAACTTTAATTTTAAAATATTCTCTCACTTTCTTCTCTTCCTTTTCATGGAGTAGAAAAACAAAATATAAAATATTAATCCTGTTCTATGAATTTATGAAAGATGCAATGATAAACTTGCTTTAAAAAATGTGCAGGTTAAAGTAGTATAGGAAGAGAAAAGAAACAACTTTAAACTTTTCAAACTTGATTTCTGATGTTTTTGGAAGGCTTTGAGTGCTCACTGTCTCTTTTGACTGTAATCACCTCTACATTCCTTCATAAGAGCTTTGCAATTTAGCAGTGTCTTAAGCCATGAAAAGGATGGCATAAAGTTTCTTCAGAAGTCAGTAAGACCATTTTTTAAAATAATTTAATAGGATGTTTTATTTTCAAGGCAGAAGTCAGTTAGGTACAATGTGAACCACCTTCTTTCTTCCTCTTTTTTGAAGGAATGTTTAAAGACCAAATTCGTAGTCTTTGTTACTTATTTCAACATAGCTGCTTTTAAGTAGCCTTGCATCTCCTGTCCTTAGTCGTTAGAACCGCATTTTGATACCTAGAGCAGAATGAAAGCAAAAGTTTGTATTTTGTCTACTAGTGTACTTGGAATTGAATATTAAAAGAAATTAAATTCTCATGTCTTAAAACCAAAGAAAACAATGAAGCAGGAGAGCCTTCAGAGGCTGTTTGTGTCCTCACACTAAGTACATGTCAGTATCAGCACGAAAAAAGGTTACAATTTTGTAGAGTGAATTGGTATACCCATTCTGTTGCTAGTTCTTGTTACTTCATGCCATTGTAAAAGTGAAAGACTGCATGGGTGGGGAAGAGTTTCTTTTTTCTTTAGAGTCCTATCTTAAAGCTTCCTGTTTTGTGGGTGTTAAAATTATGTATGACAGGAAGTTTCTCGAAAACATGTCTTAAAATTAAACTTGTTAAAGTGTTCCAATGTATTTGTCATAATGGTTGATCTCATTTTAACATCTTCTGCAAAGAAGGTAAAACAATTCCCTTTGTCTGAGCAAATATCTGTAAGACATCTAAGGGAGCTGTAAAATAATATAGGACAAAACAGTTTTGGAAAAATAATGAAAGTAAACCTGCTTTTGTTGGGACGAAAGAGGTACTGAACCAAACCTTGGAAAATCAGCTTTAAGTTTTTAGGTGTTTGATGGATAGTGAGTATTTTTTTTTTACATCTCAGTTATTTATTAGTAGAAAAAAATGAGATGGTTGAGTGGGCTGTAACACATTACATTGTTCCATTTTTAAGCAGTCAGACAAAAAAAAACCTACTTCCTCCTTAATTATATATCTGTTTAGTGATGATCAGGTTCCATAGTATGGAGGATAGGTATAGTTAATTTTTGCAAACTATGAAAAAATCTGAACAAACAGCTATTCAGCCTCTGTAGTCAAAGCCTCATTTGGAGGAGGGTGAGGAGTGGTGGTATTGGTTGGTTTTTTTGGAGTGGGGTTTTTTGCCTTTAATATGTGCACAGTCTTACTCCTTAATCTATTGTAAATTCTGATTGTCCTAAACTCACAGCTGAGGATTTCCATGGTGCAGGACCTCTTTAGTAGTGTAAATGAGCATTGGCTATTAAGATCTGTTCTTCTTTTCAGTCTCAAATTTGTTGCAATTTTTTTTTAGTTGAAGAATTAATGATTTCATAATGGACGCAGGTCTTGTGTTCCTCTTTTCAGCTTAATGTGTTCAAGGGGGGTGTGTGTGTGTTTTGTGCCATAGCTGTATAACTTGGGATGAAGTTGAATTACGCTGCAGTTCTAGGATGATCAAGTACTATGCAAGAGGATATAGGGGTGTTACTGACAGTTGCCTTCCAAATGCTATAGCAGCTGCTTCTGTTGACTGTCCTTTTTTGTAGTCTACAGCAATCTACAGGATCTCTCTGCAAAACAGGGATTTTGGTTTTGGCTAATTAAGCAGTTGAATAGGTATTGAAGAATCTGCTGCAGTATAAATGAGTATTATAGAAGAGTTTATAATCTATTCTGTGTCATTGAACAGCATTCTTTGTCACTAAAGAAATTCTTGGGAAAAAATACAAAAAAGGTAGCCATAGTTCTCTCTGCAGTAGTCATCTTTTTAACCCTTTCCTATATGATAAAATAATATAAAAAGAGAATGTTAAAGTAAATTGACAAAAGAAGAATTTCAAGTACAAAAATAGGTTTGAGGATTTGCCAGATACAACCAAGTAATAGATGGAGTGGTCTGTCTGGTGGTATCTAGGGAACAGAACACTGGTGAATCTGTGAGTATATTTAGAGAAATGTTATGAAGAAACCAGAGAATATTACGAAGAAACCAGAGGGCTTTTTCTTTCATTTTTGGCAGATGATCACTGTGAATGCTTCCTTGTTCCCCAGTTCTATTACTAATTCTTTGATAGCAGTTGGAAACGATGGTCTTCAAGAAAGAGACAGAATGGTTCGAGCATGTATAGCCATTATCTGTGAACTAGGTAAGATGACCGAAAGCTGATTATGAAAAATTTGGCATGGTTGTAATCCAGTTTCTCTTCTGTGGGTTTGTATTAAACAGGTTGTATTCAAAAAATTAAGGGTATTTGTTTAATAATTAGATGTTAAATGTTCTTAATGTTGGTTTCATGGATTTTAGTCATTAGTTTGATATAAAACAAAATCACTTTAACCTAAAACCTCTTAAGTGAAATACCTGAGGATTTAAGGTGCTGTTCTTTCCTTTAAGACTTGCCAATCTTTGATTTACCTTAAAAACATTTCCCTGCTGCAGGTGATGTTTCTAAAACTAAGGGATTGGAAGTAGGGAGAATTCCATACATGAGATGCTGACGAATGTACAAGAGTTCAGAGAATTACAAAACACCTTTCTTTAAAAATTTTTACAGTGAGTACTGTGGTTAGCTGGCTTCTGGAAGTCAGTATTTTTGTCCATGTAAAGGCCATTTGGACAGCGGTTTATGCTAACTCCCTATACTTTTACATAGGTGCTGATTTTTAAAAGTTTTTTTCAAAATCAATAAATGAGAAAACTTCAGCAATGTTTTCAAGAAACAAACTTCTATTTTAAAGAAATAAACAGCCTGTTACTCTTCTGTATTCTAGTATAAATATTTTATCCATGTCATGTCAGTCCAGAAAGCACAAAACCTTTTCCTGGGGAAATCCAGAAACTACTGCATGGGAACTTTGTTGGAAATAAGTTGGGAAATTCCTACACAATGGTGACTGACTGACCAGTATTTTTGTTCATGATAAATTAATCCAAAATCTCAATTCATTGCTAAGTCAGTTCCATTAAAAACTTTCCATGTGCCTCAGCAGTGTTCAAGAAGAAGAAGTTACGCGTACTAAAGAGATGACAAAGTCGACATTGGAAGCTGTGAAATGTTTTCTTTCCCATCACTGGCCAAAGTGACATGTTTTTCTTAATTTAGCACTTCAGAATCCGGAGGTGGTGGCTCTTCGGGGTGGTTTAAGTACCATCTTGAAAAATGTGATTGATTGTCAACTAAGCAGAATAAATGAGGCTCTGATAACTACAGTTTTGCACCTCATTAATCATCCAAAGACCCGACAGTATGTGCGAGCAGATGTAGAATTAGAGGTGGGTTCAGTTTTACTTCTTTAGTGACAGAAATCAAAGATTGTATTGCTAATGAAAATGTTTAGTTTTTGTCTCAGATTTCACCCTCTGTGTTAGTGCAAAATGTTTAAAATACAACATTTTAGGCTAAGAGCATAGTGATATGTAAAGCAGGAATAACATAACAGATTGGAGTGGGACTGAGGAAAGGGCAAGACCCTGTATTCTCATGTGAAAGTAATGCATGTCTTTCTTTTGTTTAGCGAATTTTAGCTCCTTACACAGATTTTCACTACAGGCATAATCCAGACACAGCAGAAGGACAACTCAAGTAAGTGTTAGTGCTGCTACTTGTGCTGCCACTTGTGTTCATGGTATTGGAATTAAGCTATTTTTCTTTCCGAAGTGAAAATAAAAGCAATGACCTAATACTGAACTACTTGTAGTTGAGTACAGTGGGTTAGGATGCAGCTTCCTAAAATACTGCTAAGCATTTAAGGTTTAAAAAGGCTTGTTTAGCCTGGAGAAGAGAAGGTTAGGGTACACCTTCCCCTGAATAGCAGCTTTTCTAATACCTATGAAGACATTATCAAGAAGATGTAGCCAGAACCTTTCATGGTGGTAAAAGGTGAGAGGACAAGAAGAAAGAGAAATTGAAACAAGAGGTTCCAACTTGATATTGGCGGGGGCGGGGGCGGGGGAGGGATTTTCTTTGACACCAGTTGGAAAAGGCTGTCCAGGGAGGTCCTGCAGTCTTCATCCTTGAGAGTTCCTAAGACCCAACTGGATAAAGCCTTGAGTATAACCTGGTCTAATCTGATCACTGACAACTTCTTTGTGTAGGAGTTTGGACTAGAGACCTCTTGACATTGCCTCCAACTTGAATTATTCAGGTTTTTTAATTATCAAATGGCATTAGTTGCTTAGGTCTCAGTAACTGAATAAGGTCCCAATCTTTAGGTCCTTGCTGTAGACTCACTGTCAGTGGAGGTGCAGAGTGATTCATCTGACCACATATAGATGTTTACTTTGACGTTATCCTCCTACCATGGAAACTCCGCTAAAAAAGGAAAAGTAACAATAGTTTAAAATTCTAATCTTTGTGTTGTGTATATACATTGCATAAATACATATACACACATATATGCGTAAGTAAAAGATTTCCTCTTACTCTGGATTTTATCCCCCATCTAAAATCTCGGTTAAGTACTTTTTACTTGTCATGTTAGTAACATGATTTGTTTTATAGCAGTTAACTGTATTATGACATTTGTTGTTTTAATGACAGGGAGGACAGAGAAGCACGGTTCCTAGCTAGTAAAATGGGAATAGTGGCAGCATTTCGATCATGGGCAGGTAAGACTTCCTTTTGTTTGTTTGAACCTGGATGATTGGTAGGGAAATTTTCCTTTCTGGAAACAGAATCTGTCTCATTTGATGTGTCTGATTTCTATCCATATGCTCCTATAATGCTACTAAGACGTGTTTTGATATTGCAAAATTGGAGGACACATACCTGTTTTTCTTTGACTACTGACAAGACATAGCTTTTTTTCCTCGCTATATAGAATACCTTAAAGTTGTACGTTGATGGTACTTCTCCACATTTGTTGGGTGAGAGGATGTTGAAAATAACATCATATCATAAGAATTTGCCTTTGAGATGGTTCTGCCACTGTAAATAAGAAATCTTTTTTGTCTATGTGAAGGGATACCAACAGTATAGTTTCATTATCACCGTCTTTTACCAGGTGGCATAGCTGAAGAGAAATTGCAGGTGGATATAGTTTGAGATTTTTCATGTAGAAGACATTGCTAAATTGAAAAAGCAGGGGTTTGCATTTTTCTAAATTCTTTCTCTGCATTATTACAACATATAACATGAAGATACTGTGTCAGACTGCTCATTCTTTGAGTCAAGACAGTGTCTTGCAGATAAACTAAATCATTTGATATGACCATTTACCAAAATTTTGAGTAGGATTTTTATCGGCTGTACTTAGGAAAGGTTCAGACTGTTCAGAAAGCATTTTTCATTGTAAGACTATTTATTTTTTAATGTTCTGAAAATCATCACTAAGCTTAATTTAATATCCAGATATCCTTCAAAAGTTTCTCATGTGTGTTCTCACTTGTTAGAGAGGAAGCTTGGGAAGTTTGTGACAACTTTGAACCTTCTAGGAAGCAGTTTCTGATAGGAACATTGTTGCATCTTCTCTTACTCAGACACTTAGAACTAACAACATATGCCTGAAAGTTCAAGTGACTTGAAGAAACAATTGTCTTGGAATATGTTATTTGCCATGGCACTTTTACTGTTACACATTCATCCTTTTTAATATTTCTTGTTATGTTAGAGACGTATGTTTTGTACGAAATGTCCTTATACTGTCAGTCTTGCCAAAGGACATGTAGCTAAACCAAGCTTGAGGATGTTGATTTTTGTTCTGGCTTTTTGAGTGAGTTTCTTGCCTGTCTGTACTATCTGCTGTGTTCTGCTGTTCTACTCTCCTTATTTTCTAGACTGGGTTATTCTTCAGAGCTGATGGTTACCATGTCCTTTATCCTTGTGCATGATCATGCCCTTAGTGATAAAATTGGGGCAGGCAACAATGACTGCATGCACCCAGTTCTATTCCTGCATTGCAGTTGGGATGTGGCCACTATGTGCTCTTGGAAAAGGCCTCCAAGGTGCACTGTGGAACATATTTAAATGCCTTTAGTGTGTCTGTTGTGACATGTGCATATCTTAAGTCTTTGTGATGTGGAAGTTTTGAGATTGAGGACTTTCTTCAAGTTCATATAAAGTGCATCTCATTAAAGTTGAATTTGTATTAGTGAAAATAAAAATATGAGCAGATGATATTTTTAATCTTGTAGTTTTTAAGGAGTAACAGGTTAGGTTTATTTCTGATATACAAGACAAAAAGGTATGCAAACCTGGATTCTTTTTGTTCATTCAGAGTTGAATTTGGAGAAACTTATTTTCTGGATAGCATGTTTCTGTAAGCTTTAATTTCTTCTGTGAAGTATGAAGAGAGGTGGTCAAGGAAATGAGCAAGGTTACTGTTTTTGCAGCCATGTTTTTAATAAAGAGATTGTATATAAATTGAGGCTGAAAATCAGAGTAAGCTTTAGGTAGTATTCTGTAACATGTAGAAACAATTTGAAGGTTTTCCCTATTAATATTGAAATATTAAACTAATTGAGTAAAAATACAGTGTAAAAGGACCAAATTATAAGAGAGGCTCTGAGATTATATGCAGAGTTAAATCTGTGTTGAAACTTCTGGAGATGAACACTGGTCATTTGGGAAAAGACGGTTTAAAACGATGTACAGAGAATGTAATTCCAAGTGTGTTTAAACTTGCTGTTCAGAATTCACTTGAGATTAAAAGGAACTGAGTAATTTGTTAGGTTAAGGTACAGCTGTTGGGTTAAGGTACAGCTGTTGATGGAGAAACTTCCCACAGTTCTGCCAAGAGGATGCAAATCTTTCAGGTTTAAGATTCATTCTTTGGCAACTTTGTCTTTACTTTCTGCTATTCTTCCATGGAAATGTTGGTTTTGCTGGTAATTTGAAAATACTGTTCATAGTAGGAAGGGCGAAAGTAGCTATAGTTTTTAATGAGGAAACAAAGTTTTGTGATTTAGAAAGTTCTGTTAAATATTATTGATTGGAAAGGAGATGACATTATAAAGGTGAAAATGTTTATGATTAGTAATGTTTGTCATCTGTACTTGTATTCAAACTGGAACTTGACCTGGACAGGCTGGAGAGTTGGGCAGAGAGAAACTTAATGAAGTTCAAGGGCAAGTGTAGGGTCCTGCACCTCGGACGGAATAACCACATGCACCAGCACAGGCTGGGGGTTGACTTGCTGGAGAGCAGCCCGATGGAGAAGGACCTAGGAGTCCTGGAGGACAAATTGACCATGAGCTAGCAATGTGCCCTCGTGGCCAGGAAGGCCAATGGTACCTTGGGGTGCATTAGGAAGAGTGTGGCCAGCAGGTCGAAGGAGGTTGTCCTTGCTCTCCACTCTACCCTGGTGAGGCCACAGCTGGAGTGCTGTGTCCATTTCTGGGCTCCCCATTTCAAGAAAGACAAGGAACTACTGGACAGAGTCCAGCAGAGGGCAATGAAGGTGATGAGGGGACCGGAGCATCTCCGTTATGAGGAGAGACAGAGAGCTGGGTCTGTTCACCCTGAAGAAGAAAATACTGAGAGAGGGTCTGATCAGTGCCTACAAATACCTTAAGGGTGGGTGTCAGGAGGATGAGGCCAGACTCTTTTCAGTGCTGCCCAGCGATAGGTTAAGAGGCAACAGGCACAAACTGAAACACAGGAAGTTTTGTCTGAATATGAGGAAGAACTTTTATACTTTGAGGGTGGCAGAGCACTGGAACAGGCTGCCCAGAGAGGTGGTGGAGTCTCCATCTCTGGAGATACTCAAAACGCACCTGGATCTGCAACCTGCTCTAGCAGGGGGGTTGGACTAGATGATCTCCAGAGGTCCCTTCCAACCCTAACTGTTCTGTGAAACTGAATTTAACAATGTATCTAGTGCTTTTCTGTTTGGTGAGGGAATATTATTATGTATTTAATGTTTTCTAGGTATTATCAGCCTGTGCAAACCTGGAAATTCTGGGATTCAGTCTCTTATTGGGGTACTCTGTATACCAAATATGGAAATACGGGTAGGTGGTAAATATTTAGTACTGATGAAGGAATAATATTGGATATTTTAATTAACATATTCTTAACATTTTAACAATTCAGTAGTTTAAACACAGACTCCAGTTAGGAAATCACTACCCTTGAGTTTTTGACCCCCAAATTCAAGTCTGTAATTCCATTATAAAATTCCTGTGAGAATGGAAGCACACCCTGTATGTCTGAGAGGAGGGAATGGAGGAGAAAAAAGTATGTCAATTGTTTGTGTTTTTTTTTCTCTGAAAGTCAGAGCAAGTTCACAAGAGCTGCAGTTACAAGTTTAAAGCATAATAATCAGAGTTGAATCTGAGATAGATTAAAATGTTTCTTTCCAATTACCTGTTAAGCCAAGAAGTTCATGGTGGCAGCAGTTACTGTTCTAAAAATCTGTAGTCCAAGTAGCCTGAGCTTCTGTAGAATTCGTAGTGCCAATAATGCACAGCTTTAAAGTAAACAAGCCCCTTCCCTTCTCTTCTCCAGATTATTTCAGTTTATGAAAATAAGCATGTTAGCAAAAAAGGAACCACTGAAACAAATACACCAATTTTAGCACTCTATGGAAATGTCAAGTTTAATATTAAATAGTGAACAAAAGGACAGTTTTTGTAAATCTATAAAATTCCTGTTGTGGTTTTTTTTTTTGGTAGCGAGGTCTGCTTGAAGTTCTCTATGATATATTTCGCCTTCCTCTCCCTGTTATTGCAGAAGAATTTATTGAGGCACTTCTCAGTGTAGGTAAGTGTGTTTAGAACTAGCTTACATAAAAATTCTCTCTATCTAGCTCTTCTACAAGTTCAAACCCTTCACTATCTCCTCTATATCTTAAATTATGTCAATATTAACTGTTTCATCACTGAATTCATTGGGTGCTCTGAAGTCCTGCTTAAAATTCTTTGTCAACTGTTAAGTGTTGTAAGTTTGAAAGATCAGCAGTGGAGTGTAATGGAGCATCTACACAGAAGACGGTGTAATCATTACTACATATTAGACTTCTTTGAAGTGTTGGAAGCATTAGTAATGTAGAAGTGTTAGTGAATGTTACAGAAAAGTTACTAAACAGTCTCTTCTATGTATTGTGTATCTGCTAGCTATCTTCATTGCACTTTAGCAGACTTCTACTATTCCTAGGGCAAGTGTATGCTTTTTCATATCTTTATATTTAGCAGAGTTACTCTTTTATCTTTAGAACTCCTCCTTTGTAAACCCAAGCGTATCCTCTGCTTCATCTCACACTGCAAAAGTTTCAGCCTCTAATGTTCCAGCAATTCTCTTCTCTAAACTCTTGTCATAAATGTTTTGTCCTGTAGTTGATTACAAAAACTTAATCCTTGTTCTGTGTTTATAAGCAAATAAGTCATTGTTGCAAACTTGCTACTTTGTGACATATGGATGTGCGTTTTTAAAGGAGTTATGGTGTTTTCTGTTAAACAAGTTTAATGTGTTTATGAATTGGAAATGTCATTATTTTGGTTGACAGATACAGTCTTTGTCCTAGCTTTGAAGTTAGCCTTGCTTTGTTCAGAAGTGTGGATAAGATGACTTGTTAGAGATCCCTTATGATAAAATTTTCTATAATTTGAAACCTGAAATAATATTTGTTGAGAAGAACTATTATTGACCTACTGACATCCATTAAAATAACACTATGAAATCCAATGTTATAATTACCATTGTCCATATTTTCTTGTTCTAGATCCAAGCAGGTTTCAGGACTGCTGGAGACTTTCTGATGGCTTTGTAGCTGCTGAAGCTAAAACTATATTACCCCATCGAGCGAGGTCAAGGTGAGCATTTAATGAACTTAGACTAAACCCTTGTTTTTGTTTTGTTTTGATGTTGACAAAGTACTTGTTTTCTTGCAGACACAGTAAGAAAAGAATTTTCTAAACTGGTTGCATACTTTTTTCCTCCTTAGGCCTGATCTCATGGATAATTATTTGGCTTTAGTGCTCTCAGCTTTTATTACCAATGGACTTCTAGAGGTAAGTGATGACTTCAAGTTTGGCTAGATGGTTGCTACTTTTTTCCTGTAAACATTAAAATAAGATGTTATATATTAAATGTTGTAATAATCTTTTAACTTTTTGAAGGGTCTGGTCGAAGTGATCACAAGTAGTGATGACCATGTATCTGTTAGAGCAACTATCCTTTTAGGAGAACTTTTGCACATGGTAAGTAAAACTCTTTGCTGAGAATAAATAGTATTAGTTGCTACTTGTAAATAGGTATTTCCTATTACAGCTTTGAATTTGTGTTATGAACTTGGAATATCTACATTTTATCAGAGTGGTAGGTTAATTTACATTACATCTTTTGGCACTTCATGTATTAAAAACAGTATGAATCAGTAGGAAGGCTGTTTGCAAAGTATTGAAAGTGCTAGGAATTCTGCTCCAAGGATAATACTTGGCGCTGAAACTCTCACCAGTATACTTCTTTGCCTCAGTAGCCAGTTGCATTTTTAAGCTGGAGTCCTGCAAACTCACCCATCAGTTACTGTGTCTGGGAAAGGGACCTTTGCTGACTTTTGCTTTTCTTAGAATGCTGGTAGCCCTCTGGGAGTGTGTTTAGCTTTCTGCCTCACAGGCTCAGCAGACGAAACTTTTTGTCATGATCAGGTTGATGTGGCTGGGGCACTTGATGGTACTTGTGCAGACAACTCCAACTTGGTGGAGTGCTCTTTCAACACTGCTGTGGGTAGCCCCTGCTACAGAGAAGCTGAAGGCCTCTTGCTTTGTTCCACTTCCCTCTACCTAACAAACATTATCTTCTACAGTAGCTTCTCTCTCTTAAACTATTTTGGTATTCAGATGATATTGTTTTCATATACACTCCAGTGCTACCTTTCAGCCTCCCAAGGAACTGTTAATCATATGTGAAGTGATACGACTTACCTTTCTTGCAAAACAGTTCTTTTATTTTTCCCATCATTTCTTGATAACAAGAATAACATATGCAGAAGAGCACTTTTTGATCAGTTTTCTTGAGGGTTTTTTTAACCTTTTTTCCAAATAAACTACTTCATAAGAGATGGTAAGTTTGTGAATTACGAGATACAACTTAAAAAGACTTGAATATGAAGTATCAGACATAGTCTGCCTCTTCAGACTACCAGCTTATTTCAGTGGTGCTTAATGGTCCAAAAAACAAGATCACGATCTTCAGATACAGGATTGCTTATTGCTACAGTGATTTACAACATTTCAGCTCAGCAGCATGGGTCACAATCACAACAAATCTGTTCTTTAGTCTCTTCAGTGATTTTTCTTTAAATAATTGGTGGAATTTCTGGAGTATTCAGTCAACCATGTAGTTTAAAAAGAGGAATCTGTAATAATGTATGCTATTTTTCTCGTTTCCAAAATACTTTTGAATGGGAGTGACTGTTACTGACATTTGAGTATGCTGCAACCATAGGTGTTTTTTTTTGTTTTCTGAAGAGATGATTATGACAGAGATGACTGTTTATCAAAATACTCAATGAATATTTGTACTTTCACTTAGTTTTAAGAGATTGAAGTAATTTCTTTATCTTTGTTATTCTATAGTTTCCAAAAGTATTTGCCGAACTACATGTGTTTCCCAAAACAAAAGCAATTAAATGTCTGGTAACTTAGAAATTCATGTTAATTAGTCAGATTTTTTTTGTGCAGAAAGTTTTTTTATAGAAATCATCAGCTTAAATTGTATTTCTGATTTTAGATTTTTTAGTACTTTTGTACATGACACATTTGATGCTTCGTGTGTTTTTGCATGTTACCACTTAAACCACCAGTGCAAACAATACAGATTAGAAGGCTCTGGAATCTAAAATTGTTTCAAGTTACTTTCAGTTGTATTTCAGAGTGATTAGTTAGATCAAATACTCAAAACACTATGTGTAATTATTACTCTGACATAATATAAAAGGAAATTTTGTTGTAATGGATTTGTGAAAGTCTTGTGAAAAGTGGTAGCTTCTTCAAATGTTGATCCTAAAGAGATGGATGAAAATGTTGTAATAAGTTATTCTGACTGGTCTTTTGTTGTTTTTTAGGCAAACACAATTCTTCCTCATTCTCACAGCCATCACCTGCACTGCTTACCAACGCTAATGAATATGGCAGCATCTTTTGACATCATGAAAGAGAAAAGACTGTAAGAATTCTAAATTACCCTTAAAAGCAAAAATACTTGCATCTCCTTTTCTCCCTGCAGTTGAGTAAAAGCCTACATTACAAGTTTTCTGGTAGCTGAAACCACTGCTATCTTTATTTAAAAGCAAACAAAATGCTTACACGTAGAAATGCTCTGTCACACTTACTAGGGAAGTTTCCAGTGCATCATTCCAAAAGTGTTTACAGTAACAACTTAGAAATTTGGAAAGAAAGTTTTGATAGCAGATTTCAGAACTCTTTTGCATAGATTGCAGGATTTTTACAGAGAATTTTTCTTAAATGAAGTCTAAGGCACTGTTTGACCAAACAATATCCAAGAGGTGTTCTATTTCACATTTCTTTTTTGGCGTTTTGATGCAATTAAACTTTCAAAATGAAAAAAACCTGTACCAATTTTTTTCTTCTGTTGTTTATCTGTAGCTAATTAAATAGTGATAGACCAGATCAATGAGGAGTTATTAGTGTGAGCAAGAGCGAAAAAATGTAATAGTGACATGGAGCTGGCTATTTGTGGTTGGTTGTTTGGTTTTTTTTTTTTTAAACTATTCAGAAGAAAATTATAATTGTAACAATAGTAACTATGTTGAAACTTTCTGGTGCTTTTCTTCAAAGTTTGCACTGATAATTTTTCAGTTCCTTTCAGTTCCATTTAAATATGAGAATATATGAACAGAAATTTTAAATTTAGTGCAGCATTCTGCAGTAGCATATAGTTAAGCAGTGTTAGGGAACTGTTTGGACATCATGGTGCCAATCAAATGAGGTATATTTAGGCATCTGACTCAAAAAATGTTTACAGAAGCTTTTTATTCCTCTTTGAACTAGAAAAACCTGAATTTTGAGACTTTAAAAAGCTATGGGCTTTTTATTTTACTTATTTTTTAGAGTTCCTCTACGTCTACTAATCTTGCAATTTAACTTCTGAAGTGCTCTGTCGTAAAATACCATCTGCTGGGTACTTCACGCCATGTAAACCACCTGAGGAAAGAAGTTAAATAATTTGATAGATTCATGTGTCTTTAAAATGTGTTTCTGTAACTCTGTGTTCTTACTTGGGCTTCTTTGTAGAAGACCATTTAAATTGAGTGTGTTGGACTTTTACTTTTTTTTATAGTAGTAAGTTATAGGAAATGTTTTTTTAATTAGTCTTGCCATTCCTGATCTGCCTTTACAGATCAGTATTCTGATAAATGTATCATAACTTTCTATTTTGTCTTTCATTGTGTTGTCAGTGATAAATTACAGAATCTTTCCAAAGTGCTACGGTGAAATGATAAATGCTGCCTGCAGAGTGCTTCCAAGAAAATAAGTGCTCTTCTGCTTTTTAGTTTTCAGGATTTCTTACATGTCAGTAGAAGATTTTGATCTGTGGAAACACAGTTATTTTCCAAAAAAGGCATATCTGAAACTCCATCACAGGGTATTTCACTTGGTCAAAGCTGTGGGTTGAGAGGAAGGATGAAGAGCAGAAGCGATATGTTTGTGGATTAACTGTAGATTTTTTTGATTTTTGGCATTTGTGGACATACCTGATACAGTAGTAAGGATTCCTGTTTTTGTAGGAAGAAAGTGATTTTGTAGAAGTAGTGTTTTTCATTTGGGGATCTTGATTTTGGTCAACACTGTGTTGTTTAATACTTTGAAAAACTGTAAGCCTTGTTACAGATCAAATTTATGTAATATAGATAAGCAAACAAATTCAAAGGTATTTGTTTGAAGATAATATAAAATAAAAACACTCTCCTAACCTATGAGAATTTTTGTTCATGGGGAAGAAAGGTAGACTTACCTCCTCATTTTTAGACCTTCAGATTTTATTTGCTCTGCAGGTTGGGTTTTTTCCTGCTACCACTGTTCCGTAATTAACTGTTTCTGCCCTTGTCAGCTGTCATTTCAATTACTTCCTATCTTTTCCTCAGACTTCGTACATGCTGTTGCTGAACTGTTTAGATACAAAGAGCAGGAAACATGCTGCTGATACTCCTGCCACCTTTGTGGGGGAGGGGGGGAAAGAGCATTTACGAGAAATACTTTGTCAAAGTTGAAGCTAGCCCCCTCAGCTCTCAAGTCACCCCTAATTGCAGAGTAGAAGAAAAGGTATCAATAAGGCTCGTTCTTCAGTACTAGTAGTTCTGAAAGATAATTCTCTGTGTAACTTCAGTACAAGGCTGAGGCCTGTGGATGTATGAAAACTTGTATCAAGAAAATAATTTTCTTTTTATTTGCTTCAGAATTGTTGATCAGTTCTTTCTTGAGCTATGTTTATTTACTCAAGATACAGCAGTGGCACTTTTTAGTTGGATAACAGTTGCCAAATACTGATTGTAGTGTTTTTTTCTGTTAGACGAGCAAGTGCTGCACTTAACTGCTTAAAACGTTTTCATGAGATGAAGAAAAGAGGACCTAAACCTTACAGTCTGCATTTAGATCATATTATTCAGAAAGCAATCTCAACGCACCAAAAAAGGGATCAGTACCGTGTGCAGAAAGACATCTTTATTTTAAAGGTATTACAACTATTGATTTTTTTGAAACTGAATCTGACTTTGTGTTTTGCAAACTTAGATCCTACCCCCCAAGCTTCACTCATGTAATTCAGAGCCATTTATGTGATTTCTTTGTAGTATTTTTTTATTTAATTTGTCTTGTAGGTACCTGTGGATACTATATTGCATTGCTAGAAATTGAGTGAAATTAAAATAATTTTTAATGCTTCTGAGGACAAATTGTGCTCTTTTACTGTTAGATTCTTAATGCAGTTTACTTTCCATGCAGTTTACTTTCAAATCCAAATTACTGTGAAGCATAGCCCTTTTAATGATTGTTACATGAACAGTATTATCATGTGACAAGATTGGAAAAAAGGATGCAAGGAAACTTACTATAGTTTTTCATTTCAGGATACAGAAGAGGCACTTGTAATGAATCTTCGAGACAGCCAAGTTCTCAATCATAAGGAGAACCTTGACTGGAATTGGAATCTAATAGGGACCATACTGAAGGTGAGCTTAAGAAGGGTGTGATATTATTTTTATGAAATTGTTTGAGAAAAAATCTCCATTTCACATGTGAGCTTTAACTTTCTAATACTAATTCCCATAATCTGTTTTATTTCAGAAAATTAGGATCTTATGGCTATAATCAGTGCTGATACAGTCTCTTTGTGTACAACCCTTAAACTGTATGCAAAAAGACACTACAGTTAAATTTACAACTTTCTTAATAAGCATGTATTAAATTTTCTATAACTTTATTTGTATAGAAATAGACTTTACAGAATTAGTTATAATGACTTTAAAGCTGCTCATACTTTAGGCTTTGGTCCAAACTACATAAGGATACTGCCTTGTTCAGTTTCATAGCAGATTCTTTTTATATGTAACATCAGCTGGAGGTGGGTTATAGGTCAAACTCAGACACTTACTGAGCCACATATGCAAACTTCAGTAGTATGCAATGTTATTGTATGTTTTGAACTTATACAAATACTCCCATAGCATCAAGTTCACTACAAAATTGTTTTCAGAAAATAAAGGAAGTATCTCCAACAGGGAGGTCATTATCTTTAGATATAGATAGCTTTTAAGAAACTACCTCTTTTTTTTTAAGCAGAAAACTTACTTTTGTGTGTAATAAAACTGTGAGTGAATACTCGGTATAGTCTTCAAACTAAAATAACTCCCGTCATTCCTTGCATCAAAGCCATCCTTCTGTTGTTACCCCCAAGTAACCTTTTCTTGCTGTCATCTTTACTGTGGCGTTATAAAGATGGTGAAAGTACAAAAAAGAATCAATGGTGACAATCACAATCAAGATTGTAGTTTTTTTTTAAAAAAGAAACTAAATATTTCTGTGCATTTTTTTTCAGGGACTGATAAACTTGAGAGAACAAGAATCTGTCCAGTATAAGACCTGAATATGTATATGACAGTAGCTTTCCTCCACCAGATTTCACTGTTTACAGGCTTTTTACTACACTTACTAGATTTACTGGATTACTAGATATCTATCATTATTAAACATAGGTATTTTTACCTTTGATTCAGTATTAAAGATACTGTCAAGAAACTATTTTTCAGAATCTTACTGTTAATTAGTCTATGTAGTACTTTGACAATGGAAGTTTTATATAGTTGACCACTAAAGTGTTTCTTTTTTTTCTTTACCTGAAATTTAGGTCAAACTGTCAAGTTTCCCTGCTATCTCAGACTTCTCCAGCAGTATCTTTTCTAGTGTCCTGTCAAAAAATTGCTAATGTCTCAAAATCAGGGACTTTTTCTTTCTTCCAAGAAAATACTTGCTAGTAGCAACAAAAATAAATCTGAAATCACAGAGGCAAGAGATGGCTGTAAAAACAGAGGGAAAATATAATAAGAAGAAAGGATAGGTCCAGAGGACAGTGTTATGACTTCATGTGATCCTTCTTGAAACATCTTACAAAGTAATCAACAGAGGAGTTAAATATTGCTTATTAAAATGGTATTTAAAGTGAGCTATAACAGAATAATGATTATTTTTAGAACAAATCTGATTAATAGTGAAAACAACAACGAAAAATTATTTCCGTATTATACATATCAAATTTTTGTTATTTGCAGAGAAGGAACTGAGCAAAGTTGTTTATTTTTCCTTAGCTTTTCATAGTTTGCTGTTTTCATTAGAATTGTGACCTTGTACACATAGCATGTGACTGACATTCCCTATTCTCTAGGAAAAGATTGAACAGTTCTTAGAGAAGGGAGTGTGGGCTTTTCAATAAAATAAGAGGTTTTTTATAGGTAACATTAGGTGCAAGAAAAATTACACTACTAATTATTAGGTAAATATAATAGAAATTAGTACATTTTAGTGGCTAATCAAGGACTGACGTACAAGTTTTATATAATGCTATATTTGCTGTTTTTCTAGTGGCCAAATGTAAATCTAAGGAACTATAAAGATGAACAATTGCACAGGTATGTAAAAATTATGTAGACTTCCTTTGAAGAAAGAAATGTGGAAAAACTGGGGTTTAATATTGGTAATAAACCATTCCATGGATATGTCACATTTCTAAAACTTAATCTATAGATAAGCAGCAAAAATGGACATTTAGATAATTAGGTTGCAATATTTGCATTAAATAAACAGCTTTATAAGCGTGTTTGATTTATTTATTTTTTTTCCCCTATGCACAGATGCTTTATATATTTATTCACTTAAGAATCATACCAGCTTTGCAAACACCCTATTTAATTTTAAACCTTAAAGTATTACCTCTTTGGTATTTCATACATTAGTGTTTGATGTTGGCACTTGACAAATTTTGACAGAATAGGTCTGCAGTTGTACAGTTACATAGTTATAGCTTTCATCAAAAACGAAGAGGAAGTTATTTCTAGTTGCTGTTAATGGCAAGGGAAGCATGTGTGATTGGGAAAAAAGAAACAAATGAAAAAAGACCACAAAAACAACCAGTACAGCTCTGGTTCCTTTCATGTCTATTGGCATTAAGACATTTTTATTACTTTTGTGCGTTTGTTGTAATAATGTTGCTATAATTAATAGTTCTCTATGTAGTTCTATATATAATTAATAATACTATAATTCTTGGAAGTCCCTTTTGACATGCATTTCAGAAATTGATTAAATTATTTTGAAGAGTAGTTCTGTATTTGTAGGCATGGAAAGCTACTTCTGGATGAACATGAGGGAAAACCTAAAGCTGAAACATGTGCTGAAAGGCTCACACTACTCCATTTTATATTTTTACTAAAATGTAATCATGCTACTCTTATATAGTGTTCCCAGCATAAATGATAGTCCCACTGTTATCATAGCCATAATTTAATTTTGCTTTTGGATTTTTCTGGTTTTTTTCTTCCCTGAACATTAATTGCCAATCTGTACTTTGTGGTAAAGGATTATTTTCCAAATCTGGTGGTTTATAACGTTGCTTCTCTAAAGCAATGTCTGCAGTCCCAGCTGTGACACCCATACCCACGCCTCTACCTGCCTGGGACAATGTTCCTGTTCCATGGTTTTGTGCTGCATGCAAGCACTGTTCAGTGCCTAAATAATTTAATTCCAAATAAATTGAGAAAAATCTAGGATTGAGTTAGTGTGAAACTTCTACAGTTTGTTAATACTTTTTGCAGGATTGTGGGTTAGATGCTCTAATGGCTTTAAAATGCTGTTGCTCTTGTTAAATTATGACTAAATAAGCCGCAAATGTCTCTAGTTTCACTGCTGCTGTTAAAAAATTTTCAGCTGCTTTGTTTCTGAAGTGTAAAGTACATTTATTTGTCCTTCCATAAGTTGATTTTTTTTGACTGTTGGTGTTCTTGTGATGATCTTACAGCTGTTAAAGTGAAATTCCAGATATTTTTGATACAGGTTCCTTCATTTCATAGATATACAGTAATGCAATGTGTGTATACACGTAGAATCATAGAATCATTATGGTTGG